AACCGATAGTTCCAGCAATCAACTATCGGTGCCGATTAATCGGCAAAACTGATACATCGGTCGACCTCTAGTGAGGACATTGTCCTGCCTCACCGACCACTGGCGTTAATGCTTCCTGGTTCAAGCCCAGCAGGTTTAAGGGACCAGTGCAGAGCCAGATTGGCCACCAGCACCCTGTGAGTGGAAAAGGAGAGTTCCTTAAGTCCTGCAATGTCCCCTACTGCGCCTAGCAGGAGAGACCCAGTTATTCCTTAAAGCCTCGTCTCATGGAGTGGGCTTGCTGAGATGTCTCACTATAACTCTGCACCAAAAGACAACAAAGAGTAGTTTGATTTTAATAAAAAAAGTGCCTACACCCCCCACTTCCCAAAAGTTCTCATGCCAAGTTCACAGAAAAACTGTTTACAGAGCAGCGAAGCTCACATGAATAACACCATAATCTCCAGACGCTCTACCAGAAAATCCTGCTGGGCTCAGTCTTCAAAGACACGGCCAAAAGTTCTAAAACAAGTAGAACGAGTAAAAACAAATATCAGTAACTAAATCCATGTATAGGTAAAGAGGTCAATCCACCACCTGGGACAGATGAATGCAGCTAAGGACATTTCCCCTCGGATAGCCACATTATGTGCCCTGAGGTAACGTTGCCCATGTATAAAGTGTGTGCCGACAACTACACTCTTTCTTTTCATACATAGTGAGACTAAACATAATTGAGTTAATGTAGGCAGGTAAAATACACATTTAGGACTTTACCATGAGTCATTGAATAAGAGTATGTTCACAGAGGTAGGTGGAATTGTTGGCAGGTTTTGCAGTGATTGTAGGAACAACATTTCAAAACCTAAGGACAAAGGTTAATTATGGGGTCTATACATTGTCTTGATTCATATCTGAAACGTCATACCCATTTAAGGTTAGTATTTAAGTAGATGTTAGCATGGCGCTTATTAGACTGGTAAATCCCAACAAGGACATGGACATTCAAGGTGTGTTTTTACATGGACAAAAGCAAACTGTACAAGCCCAGTTCTAGTCATGACTCAGCAAGAGAAAAGCTTCTGATGTGCCATGTTATTCATATACAAAAAAAAAAAAAACATTTTCGCCGCCACCTCCACATACTTTTCACAGCAGTTTCAGTTTCACCATTCCCTGAGGAACTGAAGACCTCTTACAAACATTTACCATGGTAACCACAGTTTCTGTCAAAGTACCATGGTTACTAGTTATTGCGATTACAAAAAAAAAATCTGGCAACTTTGGTATCAGCCACCGTTTTACTTTAAACCACATAAACATTTCATTACACCAAATACACAAAATAATGTTATTTTTAGCAGCATCATATGACCCCTTTAAAGACCTGTGAATTAGCTTGACAAGCACACTTTTCTTTACTCTGTTAATGCATTTCCTATAGAAACTGAGGTGGGGCATTTCAAGTGGTGTTTGACATTTCAAATGATGGTATTTGATTGGACACAAATCTATGCAGTGCAGCATGAGTCATCAACATTTTAAGCTCCATTTTTCCACTACAACTGAACTGAAGATTGCTTGAAAACTAACACTAAAAATCACAATACTCTAATTCTGATTTCACGGGTTATGGGGGGAAATTAAATGTTATCACAAAATGATGAAAAGATGCTAAAACCAGCTCATTTCAAGAAGGTCCCATATTGCGCGACTTCTGTATTTTTGTTAAAAACTGTGGTTTCTATAGTAAAATAAGTGACTACAGGTTCTTTAAAATCACTGGTGAACCCTTCAAAAATTCTGAATATGCAGAAATGGCAGCATACATGTATCCAAACAAAATGTTACAGCAATCATGCATTATTAAAATGTAGCAGATTGCAGCGAGTGGAACAACAAAGTAAGTACTAAGTTATTTTTATAGGCCTAATTAAAATGATTTTCACCAGCACTAAGCACTTCAGAATAATAAAGGTTTATGTATCAAAACTGTATATACGGATATGATCGTTTCCTTTCATTATCATCTCAATCTAAGCTGATCACTCAACAATAATCTGCTGTGATGTTATCAAATGAGTAAGACAGGCGTTTATCATGTAACAATGGAACAAAAACAACTAGAACAGGGCTGTCCAAACTCGGTCCGGTGTCCTGCAGAGTTTAGCTCCAACTTGCCTCAACACACCTGACTGGAAGTTGCTATGCCTAGTAAGAGCTTGATTAGCTGGTTCAGGTGTGTTTAATCAGGGTTGGAGCTAAACTCTGCAGGACACCGGCCCTCCAGGACCGAGTTTGGACAGCCCTGATCTAGAAAGTTCTCCTTATCACATCAGCTTCGCATAAAAACATATTCGATCTGTGTATTCTGACATTTGATAACTTTTTGCCACGTATTACATATATCCTGCCACCAATGTAAACAAAGCACACGCGCTTACAACAAACTGTTGCAACACTGAGAGACACGTAGTTTCACGGTAACTAATGTAACTTAAATATTTAACCCTGAATATATATCTGTGAAAATATTTCAAGATTCTTAAGCAAATTAAGTAGATATTGTTGTATATAACATAGCGTAGCATAGCATTGTTGTATATAACGTTTACATACCGATATCGTGTTGTTGAGTCTAAGCAGATTGTAGCTCTCTCTCGCTCCCGGTGAATCTGGTCTAATGCCCCACCTTACTCGCAGCTGATTGGACAGTGGAAGAAGCGCTGTTCGATGCCACACCTTATAGTTACATGATTGGATAGTTAAAGCAGCGCTGCTTCAAATGTCCAATCAGGTGCAAACCAGGTGGAGTACGCATCATACGAGAGAATAAAAAGTGCGTATTATTAATATTTTATATATACAGTAATTTATTAAATGAATCAAAATGATTTAAGATATATAAAAAAATATGAAGATAATAACAAAAACATTGCATGAGCAATGAGCAGACTAAGAGTGGCTTTAGAGTTTTACTTCATTTATATTATATTATATTATATTATATTATATTATATTATATTATAGTTAAAGTGACAGCTGTTTATTTAAAAAAGATCTCTATGTTGCATGAACAGAAGGGGCATTTTGGTTCTACCCCATGGGCTTTCTTTGTTTAAAAGACTGAACAGTCATGTCATGGATTTACATACATTAATGTATTTAACGTCTAATTAACGCATTGCTTGCACACGTTACGCCATCTGTTGGATGTCAATTCTTGTTTTGGTTTTGGTTTTGTGTTTTGGCATGTCTGTGTGTGGCAGCTTTTCTCTTTTTAGTATTACTGAACAGCGATTCCTAGGAAGGAATCATAAATAAAAACAAAAATGATTTCAAAAATGCATGAATGACTTTTAAATGTTTCTGAATAAAGTGAGTGAGGTACTATAGTGACATAGTTTATGTAAAACATAAATATCTCCTACAGGTGGCGCCAAAGTTCTTATAACGCCTGACATTAGATTTAACTTTAGATTAACTGCGAGCCACATGCTTTTTTTTTTTTTTTTTTCATATTACTGAATTGATTATAAATGGACTTTTTGTAAACCATTTTATATGAAAAGCATTCAATAAAAATAAAATTACAACAAGCAGGTCCGAAGCATATCTTCAAAGCGCCAGAATTGTAGTTTTCTATCTGAGGAATGACTCTTATCATATGAAACCGGCTACCTGGCTGACTCTTGTTTCCAATCCATAGGTAAGACCTCAGACAGGTGTGTGTCAAGGTTACAGGCTCTTTTCCATACCTGTCCATCAACCTGTCATGCTTTGAAAAAGCCAGGGACCTTTTCCCAGGAACCACGAGAGACCAGAGAATAAGAAGTTAAAAATTAAACACAAAACAACTTTCAAGTCACCACATCCCTCAGGGAAAGGAAAGCTTTATTTTTAGCATTAGCAGCGGGCAGGGCTCAAATTGAGGGGGATGTTTGAAAAAATAAAAAATAACAAAACGCATCCTCTCAGTAAAACCACCATCCCCTTTGGATTAATAATGTGTATTATGTAAAGCTTATCATGCAAATTAAATGTTAAAATTATCTACTTAAGATAATTCACGAATAACGGCGATTGGCCAATCAGAACTCGTTTCTCTAACAAGCTGCACACAAGCTTTTCGTCATTTTTCGCGCAAAATGGTTCAAGCTCAACTTTTGAATTTCTTTAAAAAGAAGACAACAGAAAAGGTATGATTTTTTTCCTTCCTTAGAATTTAAAACATTCCCCTGACATAATGTTATTGTGCTGTATGTGTAACTGTGAGGGATTGAGAGATATAGGAGAGCTGACAGTATGAGTCATCGACCTTGCAAAAACCAAACAAAAACACGCATTTAGAGTCCAAATGCATTCACTGCGCGATGAAGCCTATTAGAATACAGGTAAAATAACCTTATAATTCAAGCAATTAA